GGAGGGCACAAACCTTTGTAATAGCTAATATATATACACACACATACATAACTCACTTTCCATGAAGCAATTTTCACCTTCTTAGACACAGGGGTTAGCAGTCATGTGTCGCTTAATGACAGGAACACGATCTGAGAAATGCATTGTTGTGTGAACACCTGGAGTGTCCTTACACTAACCTTGATGACACAGCCTCCGCCCACCTAGGCTCTGTGGTACACAGCCTATTTTTTCTTGGCTACACACCTGCACGCATGGGACTGTCCTGAATACTGACGGCAACTGGAGCAGCGATAAGTACTTGAGTATCTGAACATCAAAAGAATACAGTAAACATACGGCATCACAGTCTTCTGGGGCCACAGCCATATACGCAGCTCATCATTGACCAAAACACCATTATGCAGCACACGTGACTGTGTACGTCTAGGAGTCATTTGCGAAGAGTTGATCATTTAAGCTGTCGGTATGTGGTTTATTTAGAGTTGAGTGAGAAGTGAGGTCCTAGGGAGGAACACTAAGTATTTGCTACAAGTCTAAAAAGAAAGATGTGTCCAGGTGCAGAGGCTCGCATCTATAATTTCAGCATTTCAAGAGGCTGAAGCGGGAGGATTGCTTGAGCCCAGAAATTTGAGACCAGTCTGGGCAACATAGAAAGAACTTATCTCTACCAAAAAAAAAAAATCAAAATTTTAACCAGGTATGGTGGTGACTGCCTATAGTCCCAGCTACTCAGGTGGCGGAGATGGAAGGATCATCTGAACCCAGGAGGTCGAGGCTGTCGTGAGCCATGATGGTGCTACTGCACTCCAGCCTGGGTGACAGAGTAAAACCCTGACTAAAAAAAATAAAAAATAGGCTGGGTGCAGTTGCTCACACTTATCATCCCAGCACTTTGGGAGGCTGAGGTGGGAGGACTGCTTGAGCCCAGGAGTTTGAGACCAGCCTGGGCAACAGAGAGAGACCTTGTCTCTTCAAAAAATAAAAAAGTAGCTGAGCATGGTAGTACGCGCCTGTAGTCCCATCTACTCAGGGGGCTGAGGCTGAGGCTGATGGGAGTTGAGGCTGCAGTGAGCTGTGATGGTCTCCCCACATTCCAACTTGGACAACAAAGTGAGATCCTGACTCCAAATAATGAAACAAAAGGAAAGATGTATCAGCCACATGGTAGGAAAACGAGGACACTGTGCGACCTACAGGTCAAGGAAGACATTGTTTTTTTGTTTTTGAGTTGGATGGAGTCTCACTCTGTGTCCCAGGCTGGAGTGCAATGGCACACTCACGACCACCGCAGCCTCGACCTGCCTGGCTCCGGTGATCCCTTCCGCCTCAGCCTTCCAAGTAGCTGGAACTACAGGCACGTGCCATCCCGCCGGGCTAATTTTTTGATTTACTGTAGAGATGAGGTTTTGCCAAGTTGCCTGGACTGGTCTCGAACCTGTGGGCTCAGGCAATCCTCTCACCTCAGTCTCCCAAAGTGTTAGAATTAAAGGCGTGAGGCAACGTGCCCGACCAAGGGAGACATTCTTGAGAAGGAAGGGATTAAAAGCATTGCTTGCTTCTGAGAGTTTGATTTAGCAATATGGAAGCCATTTTCGGACCTGCAGACAGAAAGATCGGGACAGAAAGCAAACTCCACTGAACACAGCAGTGGATGGCATAAACCGATACAAATACCCCAGGGTGCTTGTCCTCCTTCTTTTGCAAATGGGAAGTGGAAAAATTAGGCAGAGTTTTGGAAGTGGGCTTATTAAGGGGAGCTACATTAGCTTTTTAATTTTAATTTTTTTCTTGAACATTCTGTTCTTCGTGAACAATAGCTTTTTTTTTATTTTGAGTCGGAGTCTCACTCTGTCACCCAGGCTGGAGTGTAGTGGCACACTACCGGCCACCGCAGCCTCAACCTGCTGGGCTCAGGTGATCCTTCCACCTCAGCTTTCCAAGTTGCCAGAATTACAGGTGCGCGCTACCACGCACAGCTAATTAAAAAATATATATATATATTGTAGAGACAAGGTCTCACCAAGTTGCCCAGGTGAGTCTTGAACCCGCGACCTCAGGCAATCCACTTGCCTCGGCCTCCCCAAGTGCTGGGATTACAGGCTGAGCCACTGAGCCCGGCGCTCTCCCCACTTCTTACAAAACTTGTTGGCCTAACTCAGGGTTTCCAAGCCTCAGCACTGCTACATTTTTAGCGAATTAATTGTGTGTGTGTCAGGCTACGCTCAGTCTTGCAGGATCTACAGCAGCACCCCTGCTCCGCCCACTAGGCTCCTAGCACCACTCTTTTGGTGTGACAGCCAAAAAATGTCTCCGGGCATTATCAGTTGTTCCCACTGGAGTAAAGACAATTTTGAGAACCACTGATCTAGCTTATTATAAACAATTTTCTTGTTGTGGGTTGTACAGTAATGTAAACGTTTGATCCAAAGTGGTATTATTAGATCAAAGTGAGGCTCAAACTTTATCTGTACAATGATCATCTGTATACCTAACCCTGAATTATACCCCACATCTTAAAAAAAAAAAAGTGTTGCTTTTAGCCTATAGTTTTCAATAGCTAGACATGGAGACGTGGACATCAGATTTTGAATGTTACTCACTTATTGCTAGATCATCTCACATTTCCCCATGTAATCAATCATCAATATCTTTTTCTCAAAGAAATGGGAAGGGATTTAAGAGTCATTGCTCTGAATTCTTATTCTCAATGTTTAAAACAGTGACCTCACCCTCAACTCACTTCCCAAGCTATCCCCATGTCTCAGACCAGGGCCACACCCTCCCAAGTCTTTCTGTAATTCCACATTAAGATACACAAGGCCTTCTTCCAAGCGTACATCCTTTTTTTTCATAGTTTATTTAACAGTAAATTAGAGAGAGAGAGAGAGAGAGAGAGAGAGAGAGAAAGATTCATCTCCCCAAGGTGGAGGCAAGTGTACATCCTTACCAAAAGATAGTTATCCACAAGTCCTAAAAGCAAATTTTGAGAATTTCAAATGGTCAAACATCTTTCTCCTGAAGCGAGATAATTAAGATTGTATTATTTCCTGGACACCAAGAATCAACAGAAGCAATCTCATTTACTGTTGCTTCCTCTGACCCTGCCCATCCCGCAGAACTTGGCCGCCACAATGCACCAGCATATACCCGCAGAAGGAAGCGTGAATAGTATGCTCTTTTGACTTTCTCTGGAAACTGGCTTAGTTTTAGGAAATCTGAATAAAATTGGACCACTGGCCTACCTAGTTGTGCTCATTACAGTAGATTCCTCTTCAGTAAGAATCAAGACAGAGCTTGCTTTTTGATATACTCTAGACTTAATTCTTCATCCTAGTTACTAGACACTTAACATCTCTGTGACTTCAGAAAATTAAATGAGCTCTCAGAGTGTCAGTTTCCATATATGTGTAATAAGATTACACACATGGTTACACAGGGGGTTCAAGACCAGCAACTTGGTGAGACCTTGTCTATACAATAAACCAAGAAAAATTAGCCGGGCATGGTTGCATATGCCTGTAGTTTCAGCTACTTGGAAGGCTGGAGCAGAAGGATCACCTGAGCCCAGCAAGTGGAGGCTGCGGTGGTCAGGAATGTGTCACTGCACTCCAACCTGGGTGACAAAGCAAGACTCTGACTCAAAAAAAAAAAAAAAAGATTAATACTTCGTACAGGTTTGTGGCAGCGAGACCTCATCTCTACAATAAATCAAACAATCAGCCGGCGGTAGCGCATAGCTGTAATTCCGGCTACTCGGAAGGCTGAGGCGGAAGGATCGCCGGAGCCCGGCAGGTTGAGACTGCGGTGGCTGGGAGCGGCCACTGCACTCCAGTCTGGGCGACAGAGTGAGACTCCAACTCAAGGAAAAAAAAAAAGTATTAAAGGAGAGTGGTACATATACATGATGGACTATTACACAGCCGTAAAGAATTACAAAATTATGGACTTTGCAGCAACTTGTATGAATTTAGAGCCTATCATACTCAGTGACCTATCTCAGAAGCAAAGAACTGAGAACCACATGTTCTCACTCATAAGTGGGCCTTGAACATTTACCATAATACTATAAAAAGTGATTGGCAGTATTGGAACACTGCCAGGGGAGGGGACCAAAGTTTTTGCTAAGTGGGAACCAAAAGGAGGCCCAAACTTTACGATGACCACTTGTATACCCAATCCTAAATTGTACCCCCATTGTATCCCACGTCTTTAAAAGAAAAAATATACATTAAAGGAGATAAATTACAATAAACCTTCTGCAAAAAGTCTCCATATGAATATTTTCTTCTTCTTGGGGGTTGTTATACCGTCCCTAAGCATGGATTAAGGTAAAGTATTTGCCAGTGGACTATCAAGTAGCAAAAGAAGAGATTATGTCCAAGGCACCAATACAATATTACTTACATGTTTCAGGGCATCTAACTTTTCTGGTCAGAATGAGAAGTAGAAAAGTATACTTGAACAAATAATTTTACAATATTCACATTTTTCACAACTCCTTTTCCCTACCCAGATAAAATATCCAGCAAACCTAAGATATTATTCTCTATTATTGTAGGGATGCATCCTAGGAAGTCTTGATACTGTTAGTAATAGACTGTCTCCACTCCATATGGTACTATGATGGTAGCCTCAATTCTAAAGTCCTGCATGCAATTTTTCATCACACCTAATTCTGCAAATGTTTTTAGAAAAATGTCTAGAGTTCCTAACCTAGTTCTGAGGACCTAGACAACACTCTTCTCTAATTTCCAAGTCTAGGATGCATATGCATTTGATTGGATTACTCAAGGATCTTTCAGTTTTTTTCACGATGCAGCTTAAAAGCAACCACTTCGACTAAACAGGTGTTGAAAATCACATGAATGCAAAGGCTCTGGGGTATTAAACTGGGTTCCAACTCCTAGAACTTTTTATTGGATTACTTTGATCCATTCTTTCACAAAGTCTTGCTTTTGACTTTCTGGTCTCCTGTGGTCTTGGATTTCACACACAGATTAAGGGCTAACAGTAACATTACAAGAAGAAACACGATGTGGGGAGACAGTGAGAGAGCCTGAACTTATGTCTCCGTTTGGGATACAAAGAGAAAATATGGGCCTAAGAACTCCTTGGAAGGTGAGACAAGAGAAACTATAAATGAGGGTTCTCTCTACTACATCATAGAATGATATCTGGCCATACTCATAGTCTAAGAAAACCCCAATATTCTGCAAGTGCTTTCTCAGGAAGACCCTTTTCAAAGGGGGAAAGGCCCAGAGGGTATAATCCGTCCCCATCAGGGATCCCGTGAGCAAGAATCTGTCTCCAGAAGCCTTGGGCGCGCTGCCCTTCCTGTCTGCAGCGTCTCGGAGTACGCCCAACTGCCACTGAGCTGCCTTGCCCACATTCACCTCCCAGTAGTGTCTCCCCGAGGTGAAGCGCTCCACACCCAGCACGGTGGCACTGAAGTCGAATCTTCCCGGGCTGCCAGGCATATTCCCTTGGCTGTTTCCACAGACCACACTTCTCAGGTCCTCGGACAAGACCAGGCAGGAATGAGCTGTGTTAGGATCCAAAGTGATATGTTCTGCAGGGAGAGAAAAGCTCGGTTAATCTCTGGGTTCATCAACGCCAAGGCTAAAGCCATGATTCTAGCATGCAGCGATTTCCCGCGGAGGGGGCGTAAGTCTCAGGCATAGGTATACTTCCTTCGGTATGAACACCAGGAAGACTACAGAAAGGGGTACAGTCTGCCTGAGAAATAAGAACAAAACAAAGGCTGATGGACAAGGGCGAGGCTTAAAAGTCCTTTCAACCCAGAGGCTATAAAACTGTCCTGGTGCCCAGTCCACTCAGATATCACCTAGGACTCAACTCCAGTCTTCTAAACATCTGTTTCAAGCCTGGAGCATGGAGTCTGAGGCATGGAGTCTGCTGACAGAGCAGGATATTCATGGCTCTTCTACTCAATTTAAATATCCCCAGAGTGATGTGGATTCTTAGAAACTGCTGACAGTGGGGCCTTATATGTAGCACATCAAAGTATAATATACCAGTGGAGGCTAGAAAACTTGTGAGAATCCTCTAGAAACTAAGCTGAGATCAAGCACGCTCAGTGTGCGTCCTTATCCGTGAATGAATATGCCTTACCCATCTCGCTATTCCTTCTCTTAGCAATTTCTGTTCAACCTCTAACTATTGTGACTTTGCAGGACTCTGTCCTGGGACTTCTTCCGTTTTCTGCTTGTATTCTCTCTCCTTGTCATTGCCCCAGCTTCAGTTTCAAAGACCTTCGGTATATTCCTGACTCACCCCATAAACAAGCTGCCCAATGTCAACTGGACAAAACGCAGGGACTCTACACATAGTGCATCCAAAACAGAGCTTCAACCTTATTCCTCTCCAGCTCTTATTGCTGGAGTCGTCTCAGTCAGAAACCTGGAGTAGTCCTTTATTTACTTTCTTTTTTTTTTGAGTTGGAGTCTCACTCTGTCGCCCAGACTGGAGTGCAGT